TAAAATCGGAGCGGTTCTTGGACTTTGAATTTTGAATCTTTCATAGGTTGTTGTAGCTCTGCCTAGTAATTATTGCGCCGAAGTAGGCCTGCAGTCTGGGCTCAATTTCCGATCCGACTCTTCCCTTTTTCAAGGTACTCAAGTGCTTTATTTCGGCTTCCCAAGTGGTTTTCTGCTTTCAAACCCTAACACTTTAGTGCTTTTAAATATTGGCTTCCATTGCTAGCTAAACCTTTCACACAATTCTTCTCGCATCAGCGCCTTCATTCGTCCTCAGAGGAACCCTAGGTCTTTGGAAAGTCCTCCTTATCTCCTCCCTTTTTCCCGGACAGTTCTCATGTCTTCCTCAAGCTCTATTCCCGTTCATCAGGTTTTCCCGGATGGCGGAAAAGTTTCTGTCTGTCCCAAAATCCCTGTTGATGCCGACGGGGTGGAAACCCACTTTTTCCTTTCTTGCGAACATGCTCGGAAGATTCCGGTTGTGGGGCTTTTTCTGATACGGAATTTAATGAAGTTGTGGCCCTCGCGGGTCCAAGCATAATCCGTTCTCGCCCTCTACCGGGTCAAAACATTGTTGAACCCCCTTCTCCCCTTCATTTCGGCATCCATACCACTAGCCTTCAAGTAGGATTCAGGTTTCCCTTGCATGGTGTTTATCTTGGCATTCTGGATTGCTATGGGGTAATTCCGGGCCAATTCTTCCCCACTACTCATATGTTCATCGCTGGGTTTATCGCTCGGTGCATAAGTTTGAAAATTCATGTCAACATTGACCTCTTCCTTCATTTCTTCCACTCTGTGAGGCCTGGTGGTTTTGAATCTCCGAGCTATCTGTCCATTTCTCAGCGGGCTGGCCACCGCCTATTTGAGGTCAAGTCCTACCCTGATTCTTTCAAGGGATGGAGGCACAGATGGGTTTGGGTCACTCATGTGGATGGAAAGCTTCAATTAGGGGTGGACATAACGGTTTGGTTTAACCGAACCGTACCAAACCGAACTAAACCGAAACCGGACCGTATGCAATTTGGTTTGATTTTGGTACTATTTCTTTCAAACCGTATTAAACCGAACCGAACCAAAACCGAACAAAACCGAACCGAACTAAAGAAACTCAAAAAAATCATATATTATTAACATTGGTGGTTTAATTTGGTTTGGTTTGGGTTTACTTAAGTAACTCGTTTGGTAAACATTTGCTCAAACCGAATAGTTTGGTACTTTGGGTTGGTTTGGTTTAAAACGGAAAAACCGTAAACCGAACACCAAACAACATATATATATATATATATATATATATATATATATATATATATATATATATATATATATATATATATATATATATACATACATACACACACACTTTGCATTAATCTTCACTCTTCATTTTTAAGATATAAATAAATAATTTAGACATGAATATACATATTGAAGCATATACTCGTATCATTTTAATTTTTAAACATTTCATACATTCATTATGACAAAGTTAGCTAATACGACATATTTGTACGAAGTATTTATTATGTTTGGCGATAACAATAACAAATTGCATTTATATTTTTACATGATTCATTTCAATAAATTTGTGAATATTACAACATTTGTACCACCGACTCTTTTAGGTTTTTTGAATATTTTTGTGATATTACAAATGCTAATCAACTATCTTATTTTTTGTAAGAAGTGAATTTTTTGTAGTGATAAAAAAGATGTTAGAAGTTTTAATTTATAATGTTTTATTATTTATTTTTCTATCATTTATTTCCTTTTACATTTTATTTTTTGTAACATTCAGTTTTTTGCTTTAACATTTTTCCTCCATGTATATCTTGCTTTAGGTTATATAGTATTTTCCTGTTTTTTATATAGTTAAAATGACTTTGAAAATACATACTTCTGTATTATGAATGTTTTGGCAAAATGAATGTTTTGATAGTACAATAACTTTAACTAGCATGCTTCTTTATATGGGATTTTATTTGATGATATACACGTCTCTTCCACTTTAACTAGCATCCTATAAGTTACAATTCAACAATTTAGCTTATCTATATTTTTAATATATACAACCCCTTTTATGAAGATGTTTGAGATTGTATTATTTTTGTTGTCAACTAAAAATGATAGTTTTGGAGTGTGAGATTTTTGTTTGTTGTTAAATTATTAAAATTATAATTTTGATCATGATGGTAAAAGTGATGATAAATGTATTTTGTTTGTGTAATTATTACTTGCAACTTTCAGATAGTATATCAACCAATTTTTCTTTTTGGTTGAAGGCAAGTGTGTGCGCAAGTAAAACTTATTTCAATGTCATTGACTTTTTTATGTTATTGACTGGAATCTGCTAGAGGATAAATATAATTGCTAGTTCTTGAAATAAAATGTGAAACTTAATACACTAAGATAACATTGTCCCATAATCTTTGAAGTCGATTGTCTTCGTTTATATTTTCAATTTTCATTTTGCTTTAATTTTTTTCAAAAGTTTGGGTATATAATTAGTTAATAGATATATATTACGTCAATTACTCTTATTATTAAATATATTTTTTAAAACGAAAAACTTTTGGTTTGATCATTAAATATATAGTTAGTCAAATTGAAATGTGAATTTAAATATTGTCATTATTTAAATAAACATTATGATGTTTTAACAAATAACATTGATCTGGTTTCGTGATTAATTTTTTTGACTTATCAGGCTTATTGACAATATATTCATCAGATACGTAATTTTTTATTTCTTTAAAGTGTACTATTTAAAGGTCTGTGAATAGTACAAAAATCATAATGTTGCAACAATTAAAGAACGGAGGAAGTATAATATTGATCGAGGGAATAAATACATAGTTTTTTAATTCTTTTAGTATGATCGTAAAAATAATGAACATATTGGGTATTTTCAAGTGTTTTAAGTGTATCACCAAGATTAATAGTTTTTAAAAAAGATGTTACTAGTAGGTCGATACAAATGAAAAATAGTTGCATTGTGAAAATATACTCCGTACTACCCCCGGGCCCCGTCCCCCCAAAAAATGACCTTTTGTAAAGTTTGAACCATGATTTTGATTAATATAATACTATGAAATTTATACTTTTATGAATGTACTTTTATTAAAAAACATTTTCATACCATTTTTATACTCCCTCCGTATTCTTTTGTTTGATACATTTTCTATTTTTTTATGTATTCAAAAATTTGTTACACCTTCCTTTTTTGGTAAGTTTTTCTTTTAAAAATTCTCAACTACCCTTACTTTTTCTACTTTTTATCTTCTCTTTCATACTGTTCCACTATTTCTCCTACTTTTTCTACACTATTCATTACCTCTACTATTTCATTCTTAAAAAACGTGCCAACACCTATTGTAGCAAACAAAAAAATGGAGGGAGTATTATAAATAGTTCCCAATAATAAAAAAAAATCTGATCAAGGATTTAAACAATAATTAACATTTGGTTTAGGTTTACTTTGTTTTAATAGAGAAAGGATAAATCCATCTTGCTCTCCATAGAGGTACCCCTTTTTTCTTCCTATGTTTCAAAAACCGACCCGACCCGGCCGGGTTGACCCGGAACCCGGTGACCCGGACAAAAAACTGGTTCGGTTTTTTCAAACCCCGGAAATGGTCAAAAACCGGAAAAACTCGGCTGACCCGGGAAAACCCGGTCAAGACCCGGACCCAAGAAACCCGAAAAACCCTGTAAAACCCAGTTTTTGGGTGTTTTTACCAAAAAAAAGTAATTTCTTTTTTATTTTTAATGCATTTTTTATACCAATAAAATTTCAATTTCAATACCTTAAAAAGAAAAACTATGTAATATATTTATATATTTATTTAATAATGAACATCATGCCAAATTATAATATAGATATACAATAAAAATAAAAATATCATTATATTTTTTTATAAGATCAAAATATGCATTGAAATATTATAAGAGTGTATTACATGCTTAATAAGTAGTATTGTTAGTTGATTATTATGAATAATAACTGATTTTTATTATAATTTTATATATAATTATATGTTTACTATTATTATATAGACGTATAATCATTTACCGGTTTACCGGCGTTGACCGGGTTGACCCACCGGGTCCGGGTTGACCCGTGACCCAGTCATGTGGCCGGGTCACTCTCCGGTCCGGTTTTTACAACATAGTTTTCTTCAGCATCGCTCATGGGGATTACTTCCCCTTCTTTGGGAATGAGCTCTTGTATATGAAAAATGATTTGATTCTGTCAATAATTGTGCAATTTGCTCATTGAACATGGCATCTCTAGAATCGTATCTTGAGTCAAAATACCCATTCATGTTACCTCCTCATGATGTCTCACCTACAGAGCATTTTCCACAGGTACATGAGGAAGAACCAACAACATCATTCCTGCTTTATATGAAAGACTACTCATATCAATAGATCTTCTATCATTCGAAATAACTAACCAATAAACTTTAATTAGGTATATAATATAAAAACAAGATTACAACATAAATACGGAGTATGACAATCTAAATTGAAAAATAATTCAAAAATTGCCATGTACTCTGTAAGTCTGTATGATCCAAAGCAGCCAGTCTCATACTCGCTTGTTACATTGTGCACTGTAACATATGGACCGTAACATATTTTAAATTTATCATTTGAAAATTGCTCATTTTTCCAATAAATGGATTTCCAAGAAACCGACCGAGTCAGTTTGAGTCCAGTTACAATTATGGGTCAAGTAAAGGGTGGAATTAGAAGCATAACCAGTTGTATCCGGTCCAGTTTGAGACTAGTCCTTGGGTCACTTATAATTATGGTTTTTGGGTCAATTACCGGCCTAAGTTATAGCCATTTAAAAAACGAAACCGGAACATGGGCAGGGTTGGACCAGTTCCTAGGACCAATTTCAACCTGAACCGGGAAAACCAGTTCGAGTGTCCGGGATAAAATGTCTGATCAGTGTTTGATGTCCATGCACATTACTTCAAATGATTTGCATGTGAAGTTTCTTTATTCTCTTCAAGGAATTGCACATTCAACTTGCATGAATAGTAAATCCAGACATACCATATACAAACTGAAAAATCACTAGCCTTTATCAAACGAGACAAGTCCTGAACATTGAAACTTTTACATACAACTCAATGATTAATCAGTAAAGTCCAGCTTTCTCTGGCATCAAATTATGCATCTAAAATTTAGCTACAAGTAAAAGAACCTACTTTGATGGGGGCTTGCCTGCCATTTGAGTTTTTATAGCCCTGGTAAGTGACGGAGAGTATTGCTCAGAAATCAAAGATGGTGAACTTCAAAGGAGGTTGCTCACTCATCAGACATGCATCGCAAACAGCTGCATTTGAAGCCAAATCCTTCATATAGGAGCGTTTGCCTGGCGTTGCGGTTCATACTTGCATCTATGTAACAAATCCGCAACTCCTCTCCTGCAATTGCTGATGAGTTTGTATATTAAAATGCTAAATGCCCCAGTAGCATTTTATGCTGGAGAAATAGAAGTACAAGGAATAGACCTACTACGATGTAAACAGATGAATGAGCTAAATAGGTAGTCTTTTTTTACATGATTACATCACATGATTCACAACTCAGCTTAAAAATATTTCACTGGAAATAGGTGTACAACAGTACAAATGATGACCTGCTTCAATGTCACGAAGAGCCTTCAATTTTACATCTGCATTTTGTAGCCACACGATATGTGTATTAGGATCTACAACCAAGGAAGAAAAATAAAAAAGGTCAACTAATCAGGATAGTAATGTAATTAATGTGACATAATACATGCAGAATCACCGATAAAATGTCCATGAAATGATGCACATTACTTCCGAGTATTGCAGGTCATAAATATCATCCCTTATATGCCTTGTGGTGTAAATCAGATCTTTTATGCAGTACGTGAAATAAATAATTTAGGACCACACCAAATCTAAACTAGTTAAGATAATTGAAAGACCACAAGTATGAAGATTGAAAAAAGGGACGATTTTCCATTTCGAATAAGATACTCTGTATAACTCAAGAATATGAGAAGGGGGGTGAAACCAATTCAGATACTGATCTACAAGTCCTTGAATGATACTGCACTCCATATCTCTAGGTTAATCAAGCTTTATTCATATATCAAATCCATAGCATGTATATGCAATTACAAAAAACTACACTGGGATCTACTTTAAGAAGTAATTCATCGACATCAAGATTTTCAACAAACAATACATAATCACTTTTTGTTGTAACTTGAAAACATGCTTCAAATTTAAGCTACACTGCTAATATTGAATAGAACAGTTGCATACACACACCCCAATCATTCCCTTGTGAACTTCACTGCGAAAGAGAAATTATCAAAATGAAACAATTTTAAAAAGTTAATAATGAGTTGATAGGGATGGAGAACCTAACCACAGTCGTGATTGTACATGGATGGTAGCAAATAAACAGCATTTCCAACAGCAGCCTCTGCTTGTATTAGTGCTGCAGCTGATGAAAGAAGGTCTTCATATGATTCTCCAGCCAATTCAATGCGGAAGGCGTTGATGCGAATCCTTGCTATTACACTAATATACCATTGGCCGGTTAGAACTAACAAATTAAAGAAGCCAGTACTTTTTAAAACCAAATAGTTTAGTGTCCCCTACTTCTATGACTGATCAAATAAATTTAAAGTTGAAAAAGTCTAACAATGGAGCCAATGCAAGTTTTTCCTTTGAATGGCATGCAACACCATATACAGACAAAAAGGATACATGCTATCTGCTTATCCGATATTTGTGCATCTGCAAAAGTGCTTCTTAGCAAGTGTAATTCTTTCTCCATCTGTTGTAGACAAGTCATGAAGATACCATTACCATCATGGATAGCCATTTGTTAAATCAAAATTGTGTCAATTTACACAGTTCTGAGTGAAATGCAAAGTTGGAACTTGGATGAAGAGCATGTTGATGTGTGTGGTAACCATTTCTTAATCATTGATTGGAGAAATATCTTATAACCTTGGAATACCAAAACACTGTAAAGGTGCTAAACGTCCTTTGAACTCAGTATGGAAGGTGACTGGGCTCATTTGTTCATTTTTCTATCTTTGCAATATAGGTTTCACACTTTCTACTCAAATTAAACCATCTTAGTCCTGACTTTCTGTAATCTGTAAAATTGCCCTAATCACCTTTTTGCAATTAGCAAGTCTTGTCACCCTAAATAGTTACCAAATGTGAAATCAAGACTTTCAGAGATTTAGTAAAAAAATACTCAGAGATTTAGTTAAAAAATGACTTTCAGAGATTCTTACCAATGGAATCATAGTTGAAGATAGAGTTGCTGGTTGAAGTAAGTCAAGGATGTCAGCAGAAGCAACATTTGCTATTATCATGCAAGCCAGCCGCTTAACCAAAAGTGGATACTTCAGACCATGCGTACTTCAAAGGAAAGTGAGTATTCCAAATTATATTCACCAATAAATGTCATACACATAATTCGCTTCTCAAAATGTATTCTATGGCATAGCAGTAACAGAGAATAGCATATTCATAAGTCAATACAACAACATAAGTAGGATATAAAATAAAGGCAAAATTACCAATAAGTTCAATTCCTAAGCACTCTATTCTACTAACTCAACATCAGTTTTTTGACAAGTAGATCTTAAGATAGACCCTTTTTGCAGTAACTAATGCTTTAAAAACGCAATGTTTTATTATAAAATCTACATTAAATTTAATATTTATCCTATTCACCTTCGGCAATGGCGTCATATCATCCATATGCCAACGCCATCATTAAATCCTTGTGCAACAAACCGAATCTTCCGATTTACATTTTCATTGATTGATGTGTAGGTCCAAATTAGATGTGTGGGGAAGACAATAGCCCCCACCCACACTACAGCTGAATGAGTTGGTCAATGTGTGGCTTCAGTTGATTACTCTTGGATAAGTATCAGCCCACAATCAGTTTGTCTGTCAAGGATTTCACAATGGTGTTGTGTTACGGACCTAGCCCATACTAGGCCCATACCAATGCCATAAGCCCAGGTGTAGAACTCACTCCCAAAAGACTGGCCAATTAGAAGAAGGGGACACCAGCTTATAAGCCACCGATCAAGCTCATACTTGATTTAAGATTGATCGGTGTGGGATCGTTACATGTTGGCACATGGACCTTGGGTTCCTCCTTGAAGATACATTGTTTTCTTTTTCTTGCTTATATTTTAATTAGGAAAAAGTACGGAAAAGGTACATGTGGTTGAGCGCGTTCTCATATAGGGGTTTTGTATTTCATTTTTTCACAAAGTCCCTGTATTTTGGTTTCATAAAATTAGCGGATGAAGACAATGACCAGTAATTCTAATTTTAACTTCATTTTCAAAATGGAAGATGGTGTGGAGGTTGCCTTGACGAGACGCACCTCTGTGTATTTTTTTTTTAATTTCCGGACATTTTTTAAATTCAGAGTTACTGACTTACAGTCCATCGTCTTCCTCCAGTGATTTCTAATGGCATTATGCGCTGGACCCGTTCAGTGAAAACGAAATCAAAACACAGGGACTACTTTGTAAATAAATGATACACAGACCCCTATCTGAAAACGCGTCCAACCATAGATACCTTTTTCTGTATTTTTCCCTTTTAATTATCTTTTCAGTGTTTATAGCCTTGCTCCCTTGAGGCCAAAGGGAGAACCACATTAGAAGTGTTTGACCCAGCACGTTTACTTTCTAGCATAGCCTTGCTACATGGTTAAGGAACTGGTTTTTAATTGTTCATCCCTAACCAGAACGTGGAACTGATAGAACCTGGCCTCCATATGGAAAAGCAGGGTGGTAATTGAAAGGGGAAAAAGGTGCAGAAAGACAAATGAGAGTTGGTGAAAGCAAGAAGTTTAATGACTAATATTACCACAATTTATAATGTAGCGAGAGAAAATGCAAAGAGGGCTAGAGTAAGAGCAAAGCAGATGGGATGGACAGGTAGAATGCTTATTGATTCACAAGGGTAATAATCTAGAGAAAGCGAGTAAGGCACAAATTAACCTGAAATTTAATAACATTGTCGAGTTTACTCGAAACTCATGTAGTATTTGATTTGATCATATCTTGTTGTATTTTGTCCCGTTTTAAGCGTTTTATAGTTCATTGTAAAGATCTTATCGAGTTCTAAAACTCATATTCAAACTTCATTTACAAAATATTAAAGGATAGGTGCGTATTACTCGGAAATTAAAAACCATTTCTGAATTGACTCCAAACAAGTGTAGTATTTGACTTGATCATATAGTGCTGTATTTCGTTGCATTTCAAGCATTTTGTATCTCGTTGGAAAGATATTATCGAGAATTTGAATTATGATCAAAATTATTATGAGTGAATGAGAACATTATTGAAATATTGGATTTTGTTACATGGAGATAGAAAGTGGGAGAACTAAAGGTGTTGGTTATATATAGAGAGAACCAAAGTGGAAGAATTTCCGGGGTTGGTTGTGTAAAGAGAGAACGGAAGATGAACGTTAATCAAGATTACAAAGGATGTTAATGAGTTGGTTAAACAAAGAAAGAAAGAGGGACGATTACCAAAGTTGGTTAGATGGAAGAAACAAAGTGTAAAGTCGTAAAGAGATAAATAGTGAGACAAAGGAAGAGATACTCAAATAGAAAAGTGGTCAAAATTATCATGGTCTGGGGATTATTTTGTAATAGAACCGGGAAAAGTTCCAAGTTAGTCAACATTATCATGGGTGGTCGGCAATGTACAGATTAGATAAAATAATGTGCATTGAGAAAAGGTAGAAGACAAGGTTAATAAGTGCTTAAAAGTTGATCAAGAATATGGTAATCTAGTGAAAGAAAATGTGCGTTTATTATATTAGAGTACCAGTAGATGTAAAATTCTATATTTTTCATTGCTCCTATTTTGGAATAATGTCTATGTCTCTCTATGTTTATTACTTTAGTCTTTTCTTGGAATTCTTTTCATAAGTAATTTAAAAACACTGACCTACTGTCCAGCACAAATTACTTAAATATTATAAACCAGGTGTTTTTAGCTTCCATTAAAAAATGGGACATTTCCACAGTTCCACATTTTTTTGTTAAAATCATTTTTTACTTCAGTACTTCCTCATTTCTAAGACTATAACATCTCTCAGTTCTTAATTATGGAACTTAAATGGAGAAAATAGGATGGCATAATACTATTAAGACATGTTTGGGTGAAGATTTTACGTCAATTATATGAACAACAGCTGTGTACATTTGAGTGGCAATAAGGTAGGTTCATTGTTTTAAAAAACTATTTTGGCATTACTGCTAAAGTACGAATAATTTTGTAAACAAAGAGACACATTTTATTTAGTTGGTAGTTTTTCCCTTTAAAGTGTACTTGTTTACCTATTGGTGAAAACCTCTCCGATTAATTAATACAATAGAAGTGTAAATCAGAAAGTAGTTATGAAAGACAGCATCTTGGTGAATGGAATGGTTTTGGGAAATTACTCGAATGTTCCTAGAGATTTCCATACCTGCAATACTCATGAAAAGCGGACCAATCGGCTTTGTTTTCAACTGCAAAATAGATCTAAAAACAAAATATAAGATAAGTACTAAAGAAATAACTTCTACCGAAAAAAACTATATAATTTGTGGGTTTCATCAAACTGATAGGATCAGGTCAGAAGAATATCTGACTGTGAACATATAGTACATAGAGTTTATATGTGTGTGTTAAATATGATATTTATTCGCAAAGTTCCAAGGTGTCATAAATACAGGGTTATTTATTATTGACTCCACCTAGTCTTACGATACGAGAAGATAATAAAGAATGTGAGAAGGAAGGTGTTATGGTTATGTTAATGGTATCATCACTTTAGAGGTTGGAACTCCATAAACTACTCTATGTTATCTGTATGGTGAATCTCATAAGTCATAAGACAATGACTTGAACTCAACACCCAAGTTATACACTGCCCTGATGGTTAACATTGAACAGTGGTTATTCCAAGATTAAGGCATCATTTGTGGTTGTAATTGCGGTTGGAAAGTCTCATTTTTATGCTAAGGCAATCCTTATCAAAGTAAAATTTTGTACAAAAGCTGATATTAAATTCTCAAGAACCATCATGATGCAAAAAGTCAGTGGAGGATGGCATTAGCAGTTCAAGAATAGCTTTCAGTTCAAAATATTTCCTTTGTAGACATTTTAACTTTTACACATACCCTTTCAACCTCAATACCATACATTATCTCTGAGAGCACTTCCTCACTACAACCATCAAAAGTGTTTTTCAACCGCAACCTCAATCCCAGAATATGCCTAAATGCCTAACTCTTAGTTACTACTCCCTCCGTCCCGCTAAGATTGTCCCATTTTACCTTTTCGGGAAGTCCCACTAAGATTGTCCCATACCAAATTTGGTAAAGTTTGTGTGGCTCTAAATCATTCCTACTTTATTCTTACTTTATCAATTTAATATCAACCACACAACCCCACTTTTCTTAATAACCGTGCCACTTTTTCATGTCCCAATCTTAGTGGGACGGAGGTAGTACAAGACAAGATGGAAGCTAAATGAGTGCTCATTAGCATTTTTTGTTTTTTATTGGGGCAATGAGATTACTTCATGTCAAACTTCTCTCTTATCTTCATTCTTCTATACTAGAAGGTCCACTCAAAATATTACAGTGTGTTCCGGACATGGAAAATGGTAGGAAAAGGGGGGAAATGCCAAAGTAACACTCCCTCCGTCCCATTTAGTTTGTCTTACTTTCTTTTTTGGTTCATACCAAGATGAATGTCTTTATTCCTTTTTGGCAAAAAATGTATAGTTCATATCATTTCACCATATTCTACTCAAACCTCAACCACAACTTTTAGTTTTCAACCACTTTATTAATAATTGTGTCAAACTAAAACAAGACATCCAATATGAGATGGGGGTAGTATATCTTTTATTTCTAAACATAACTTGAAAAATACGAAGGCAAGTCAAATTTAAATAACATTTTTTAAACCATTACATATAGTTATCTTTCTTAGTCTTTATAATATATACTCCATAATATAAATATATAAATAAAATGGGTTTGGAAAAATATCTAAAATTGGTTTATTGAGATTGAATCACTTTTTATTTTTTCCCTATGTTTCTGTTCCTTTCAAACTCCCTCCTATCTATTTTCCTCCCAGAATTCTTTCTCTAACATTTCCGGATTCCAAATGACCCCACATATTTCTCAAATTGCCTCACTCAACCACAGATTCAAGATTCTATTGTTTTACTAATAGAATTATTAAATGTTCTTGAAGTACTCCGTATAATATTTTTCCTTTAAGTTGCACCATATTCTGTTGAAGTGATTTCAGGCATAACTAAGAATTGCCCTACTTTCTGAAACAAAAAACTAACCCCAAAAAGTTTGTTCCACTGTGAAGTTACCTGCCTCGTTGCTAAAAAATCCTATGTCTAGGAGTCAAACTACAATATCTAACAAGGCACGCACCAAAGCATCAACTTCCAAATTTTAACAACAAATGAAACCAACATTGGAAGTCCAAATTAACCTTGCAATATTTTTTTGCGAAAAGAAAACACAATAAATATCAAAATTACCTATTCATAATTCAAACATATAAAATAAAATGTAAAGATAGTCTATAACTGCTCATACTCGGGAATGTTCTTCGCACCCCTGGCTGCAAAATGAGACACTTTGGGCTCGGCATTGCTGGTTTCGGAGCTTTCTGAGACAGGAATAACACACAGCGTGGAGTGAGGATAGAGAAGGATGAGATACAATGGGTTTAGCTGTATGGATCATCTCGCCGGCCCAGATCATACGCTTAGCAAACACCCCTCGACCAGAGAACTCGGTGAACCCTACTTGGACCGGCGGGGGTGAAGCGACGCGAGTGGGTTGCGATTCAGTACCGCAGCCTCTTGCGGTTGTGGAGGAGTGAAAGTACGAGCCGGAATTGGGTTGCCGGGGAGTGCTTTGGAGCTGCAAAGTCCACCAGCCGTTGCGCCTAAATAGCTTTAACATTTTCGCGCGGACAATTTCAGTTCTTACATACCAAATCAAAACAGTTAGAACTGAAATCACACTGAAACAATCCGGAGTGCTTCTTTGGTGAATAGGTGTGCACACGTGCACACTTTTTATAAGATATTACTCTCTTATTAAGTTTCTACTTTGACCTACACACATATTTGGCACTGTTTAGACACTGTTTGACACTGTTTAGACACTGTTTAACACTGTTTTGCACTGTTTGACACTGTTTTGATGTAGGATAACTTTCCATTTAGGGAAATGAGAAGATTATTTTGGGACGGCCCAAAAAGGAAAGTAGGAAGTTAATAGCGGGACGGAGGGAGTATAAAAATATCTTATTCTCTTTTTCCTATCACACTGAAAAAGGTGTGCTACTTTGTTTTCCTATCACACTGAAACAATCCGGAGTGCTACTTTAGTATTATTCTCATTCTCTTTTTAATTGCATGTTTACTTTTAATACTGTTCACATGATCTACTTTGACTACATTTTACACTATTATTTTATGGAATTTGATTTTTTTATTAAAATATTTTCCAATTCATCTCATTACAAATTTTCAAAATCTGATTTTTAATATTTTTTATTAATAGAGATTAAGACATATGTACGGTCAAATGTGTGCGTTTACAAATGTGCAAAGATTGACTGTTGCAACTAAAAAAGAATGAAGGAAATATTTCGTTATGCGCCCTCACTTGTCTTTGAAGGAATTTTACTTTACATTGCACTTTTTGAGTCATATTGGATTTTACACTACATTTTTGAGTACTACGTAACATTTGTGAAGGAAAATTTCTAAATGGAGTGCACAGTCTAAGGATTTTGAAGTGAAATGGGGTGCAAAGTCAAAGTTTTTTTAAAATGGGGTGCAAAGTCCAATATCAATCAAAAAATGGGGTGTTAATTAAGTCAAATTCCCTCTTACGAAAATTCGTTTTACATGACAAATAATACCGTAGGGGATAGTTCTACCCACCCTATATTGGTCCCACTTGGCATTGTTTTTAACTCTTTTTTGAATTGTTAACTTAGCTATTTCTTACCTTTAAAAAAACTTAGAACATGTTTACTAATACAGATATTTTCTAATTTTTTATTTCTATTTTCAATTCTTCAATTTTCTGTTTTTATTTTCCTGTTTTCCTGTCTCTATTTTTTTGTTTATTTTTTTTTGTTTTTCATTATCAAATCTGAAAACATGTTCATACAATTTTTTCGCCTGGTTCTGTGACCAACCAAAAGATCGAAAGTACGGTCTCAGTCTGGAACTGAACCTAGTACAACCCAAGTAAGAGTACTAGATCCTACGTATAGGAAAGTCGAGACCAAAATTGGTCGGTCCCGGTCGATCTCAACAGTTAGCTTGATGAAATCTATTCTCATTTCCCTATTGGTTAACAACTCAACGACTCTTTTGAAAGTCTATTCTTTGATTTGTTGTGGCCTATGGCCCTTGACAGGCTGTTTAAGGGGTGGACAATTGGGGCTGCTATACCTTACTCGACGATAACATGTAAGTATATTAGAAAACGAAAAAATAGCATTTTACAATGCATCAAATTCAAATCAAAATGACTATCTAAGCTAGAATAAACTAACCTAGCTATAATGCATCAAAATAATGGGACAGTCCCACTTCACAAATTAATTAAAAGTCCACATATCCCTAACTAATTCCATTACAAAGACCATGACTGAAATTATTTTATCTTCCTTCCAATCATTCTTCCAAGCCGTCTTTTATACTTCTCATCTGACTCACCCTTCCGACGGATTTTTTCTTCTTCTTAGCTATGTAGTCTGCTGCAGGAGGATACTCATCATTGTCTGAGTCAGTAGTATCACCCTTCTCATCCGTATCCGAGTCAAGATGAACCTCTGTAACGTTAGCCATCTTACTCGGTTCCTCCTCCCCTGAAATGGAAGTTGACAGAAGTGCAGCAGCCGGTGTGGCAGTAGCATTTTCCGGCTGGGAAACCAGCACATCTTTCAGCACAAGCTCCGTCATAGATACTACAGTCCTGGCTTCCTCCTCCCTAAGTACAGTTTCCAAACCCTCAATTAATTCCCCCAACTTTAACTCGCCTATCTCCACTTCCTTAGTTTTCTCTTCATTGGTCACTATCACTTAGGATGCAGCAGCACAAACAACTTTTTCTTCAAAATCATTTTTTTCCTTCACTCCCTTCTCATGTAGTTTTTTGCAAATGAACGGGTTATGCCCATATTCTTTGCAATGGAAGCAAAAATTTGGGAAAGTTTCATAGACCACCAATTGTTTGATTACCTTATGTGAAGGTAATCGGATAGGAAATGAAAGTGGGGGCGATTTGGACACATCAACTTCAATAAGCACCTTAGCGAAGTTATGATTGCTCCTCTCTTGAGTGATCAAGTCCGTAGTTAGTGGCACCCCTACCATAGAGGCAACTTCACTCGTGGCATCTTTATTCCATAGTTTCATTGCTAGGTGTGGGAATTTAACCCAAATCGGCACTTTAAGGAACTCTTCATCGTCAAACGTGAAATCTTCCGATAAAACCTTCAACATGAGTAGCTTGCCAACGATGGTGTAAGGTCCCTCATTTAGCACTTTCATTCTGTCACGCCCCGGACCTACCCGGACACGTCAACAACCCGCCGTACAATACGAATAGTCAACCACAGTCAAGCACATTCATATTATACAAGGCGTCGCGAATATCATTCACCCGTAAGCCATCCATAAACAACATAATAAGCAATCGAATATGTAGCGGAAAACATAGTTTGAAAACAAGTGCCACACGTGGCAAACATGAGCACGCAGGCTCTATAGTAAAATATTCATGAGCATGTTTATTAATGTTTAAAAACAGAATGGAGGGAGCACGAACCAAGTCTTCCCTCCTAGATGATCTCTCGAGCAACGAGCACAGGAAGCAAGCTCTAGCCTCAACCTGAAAAATGGTAATGGGACGCCCCCGAAGGGGTCAGCACTCTATAGGGCTATAAAGTGCTGGTGTGGATGGCATCTAATAGATATACAACAAGTATTTCAAACACAAGACCCTCAAATAGGATGATAATATAATCTAGGCCGTAACCCCCAGTTACCCCTTTTCAAAATATACTTACTTTATATATAAAGTCAAGTAGTCGGCCCGTAGGCCCAAGGTTTGTTTACCAAACATAACCCAAACCCCGTGACCCCTAGTCACAACAAAACATAGGGTTCAACCCTAACACATATGGTTGCATTTCTCGAGTCCAACTCGACTACATCACCATGCACCTTATTTAACACAAGTTAATTACTCCACCGTGCATTTCTTGAGTCCAACTCAACTACATCACCATGCACATCAATCACCACATCATGTCTACCCAATGCAATTCTATGAGCACGGGCTCAAGTACATCTCCTTACATTGGCATAGACCCCAATTCCTAAGCACTCGTTATGCCTAGAATTTGTAATATCGATAATCTATTTTGGGACATCCTTACGGACTGCCCAACCATGATCTTAGCATCACATTACATCAATTTAGTCACTTGCATCACAATCAAGTACATCAATTACAATCAAACCCTTAGATTCAATTCCTTATCAATTACAACAATCATTAACTAGTATTTCAATACTATTAAGATTAATCTTATCCATCATATATTCCATTTGTAAAACCCTACATATTTAGAGATATGTAGCAGCAACTTAATCTTCCAATTTAATACATAAATAATCATTTATGTATCTACACAATTCACACATGAGTAAAATGTCTATTTCACACAATAGTTCATTTAACTCCATTTTTATCAATACTTTACCAAATCATTTCCCATTTCATTCTTTGGAAAATAGATCAATATTCCATAAATAATTTATCATCATAATCCATGGAAAACATGATTTAGGCATTTAGGTAATCTCATGCTTAACCTACAAGTTGTAAACAACTAGATGTCGATCCTCACCTCAAATGAGCTTTAAAACCTTCCTTCTCGCTCCAATGACCAAAGCCTCGGCCAAGAAGGTTTGAGAACTGATTCCTTGCTTGGAATTGAGTGTTAAATAGCCTCCTCAAAGTGCTAGTTCAATCCCTAATCGTTGATACGAAAACGGCCCCTAGAATGGGTGTTTTCCGGTTAACTCGTTTCCTAGTTTTCCAATATTTGCTCTAGGTTAGTATCTAACCTTTAAATCAATAAAATAACCTTATGAAGACATATTATACACTTGGAGTAGTGTATAATAGTTCCACCAATCGTTCATATCATTTGGAAAATTAAAAGTAAAGGTTTGGGGTGAATACTCACTTTAGGAGAGTAAATCCGTTCCTGCGAGGTTGTGTTTTGCTCGGACGATTTGGAAGCCTTCCACTACTACGATTGATGCAAAACAGACCTTCACGGATTCATAGTCTTGAGAGCTTTCTTTTGGTATCTTATACGCCTTAATTGGACGAGTATCTCAAGTTATGGCTCAAACAATCAGCACTACGCACTGAAGAACGAACCTGCGGATTGCTCTCTTCCTTCCTTCTCTCTTGGGTTGTGTGGATGCGTTTTGCTCTCTTATCTCTTTGGGGTTCGAATGGGGTGTAGGGGGGAGTGTATAGGAGACCTTAAACATTCTAAGAGAGCATGTGGCTCACAAAAGAGCATGGGAGATATTTGGTTTGCAATCAAATATGGGGTGGACCTCCCCCTTTTGTTTTTCTTGGAGTTTTTTGTGCATGTGAGCCAAGAGTCCGCCCCATATAGTCATCTCACCTCTTTTCCTTTGTTTTGCAGGTACCAAGTCCATGTGGAATGGTTCCCAATTGATCTCATTCAACTTGGGGTCCAAAATATCTACCAATACTTCCAAAATGGGAAAATGGGTCCTATTGGTTTATCTTTTGCTAAAAGATGTCTTTTGTACTCATCCTAATTTATTTAGAACAAGTCAACTTCCTACATCACATTATTGATCTCCAATATGTGTAGGCTCAACTCAATAATTTACATGATGAATATTATAGAAGGAAAAATCCTACTCCCATTATTCAACTCAATAATGTCAAAGATGGGACCATAGGCATTTGTATTCTT